CCTCAGTATCCTGCTATCCTCAGTATCCTGCTATCCTCAGTATCCTGCTATCCTCAGTATCCTGCTATCCTCAGTATCCTGCTATCCTCAGTATCCTGCTATCCTCAGTATCCTGCTATCCTCAGTATCCTGCTATCTTCACTATCCTGCTATCCTCACTATCCTGCTATCCTCACTATCCTGCTATCCTCACTATCCTCAGTGTCCTGCTATCCTTATTATCCTGCCTTATTCCAACACATCAACTCAGAAGAACGGTTTTGTCCAAGTAGTGATGCACTTAGTTCTTTTCTGTGTGTCAACCTGACTCAGTTCAGCGCGGTAAGAGGGCGTATCAGTTATACGTTGACTCCTTGCTTGTATTATGTTTTTACCAGAACCTTGTTAGCATCATTTAGTGGCAAAATAAAATGTTCTTTCTCGCATAATTTTTCACGCTTTTCTTTACAAATTCCAAGTAAATCCTTATGTTTGCTGAATTTTAACTGAAACTAATAAATCTAAACTGCTAATTAAAATTCATCACAAACGTTCAATCGTTTTTGGGCCAATGTAATTCTGGAAGCATACAGTAAAAATGTCGGCAAACAAAATTGCATGGATTTTATTCTATTCTAATCCGCAGTTTATTTATCTTTTCATTCAATTCTAACCCGAAATTTATTTATCTTCTTATTCTATTCTATGCCGCCATTAAAATGCTGGTTGAACTGGGAGCTGTACAAAATTATTAAGAGACTGAACAATCTGCGCTAATAATCTCAACACCGTTTTGATCAATGAACGTAATTTGAAAAAAATACTCATTAATGATCATTGGTAATATTTTTTTCGTTCAAAGCTACATTTTGCATCATATTTATTATCATTCACATACGAATCAATAACATATTCCTCACACCACGAACATGATGCGCCTCTTCTCTCCATCAGTTAGGAACATGAGCACTCGTGAAGAACATGACAACATGACCTTCGTGAATATACTAATTTCTCTGTCATCATAACTCTATATGAACATGCAGAAAAAACATGACCTTCGTGCATATAATAATTACTCTATGTGATAATGACTATATGAACATGTAGAAGTTCTCTCCCTTCTCGCAACCTAATTTCTCTCCAGATCACCGCATTTGTTTCCTGCCATTTAACACATTCTCGATTAATGCCAAATCATCGAGAGATGCGCGATAATTTCAATTCTAAAATGAGTTTTAATTGGAAAATTTAAAATGAATAATTTATATGCAGTTTTCCTGTTTGTGAATTTATGGCCTGTTATTATTCCTTGGGAGATCGGAACAAGGCCTTTACAATCAATCATGATGGCCAATTTTAGCATAACACATGTTCTTTAACATGAACTTATCCAACAAATCTTCATGTAAGCCCATTTGGGAATATCATCTGAAAAATCGAGTTCAATTACATTCTGATGATTATTGAGGTCGCTGATAGGTCACGATGTTTGAATAGAGCAATGTAAATTAACACACTGGTATGCGGATGAAATCTACAAGCTCAGCCGGCAGATGCGAGCTTTTTATTGCGAATCAAGAGGCATCACAGTAATATTTAGGCCATTAAAAATAGTTGAATCATCATCCAATTAAACTAAAGCTTTCTTTATATTCTTAGTTCCCCCTAAGGGAGTTTCATTGTATTTTGGCCTGCTGAATTCAAATCGCATGCAGTGATCGTCTGGTGATGATTTTTATAACATGGATTCGAAATTTTAGCTTAATTTCTGTCAGTCAATAATAATCTTGTTACAATGAAGCAACTCAAATGGCCGATTCTCGCTACTATTGCTCGCTTTATGAATTTATTCAGGAACTGCTCATAACTATACCATTCTTTTTGTAGGGTGTAGAGCACCATGTTGGCGTCTAACAAGCCGTGAACTTCTTAATTGTACAATTTCTGACAAAAACTTATGCAGATGTGCTAACTTGGGTTCACGTTTCTCCCAAAACGATTTGAAGAAAATACTCCGTATTCGTATGATTCCTCGTCTCATCAGATTAATTTGAAGCAAAAAGTGATCGTAAAATATTTTAAACAAACCATCTAGCCAATCAATTATCCAACGACCTTCCTAATCCTAATCAACGTGTAACTTTATTCACGAACCGACATTTCCGAACATTTTTTCACGGGCGTATCCTGTAGGATGATCGTAAAATTAGTTTCCTATTTTTTCAGGATCAGTTTACGAGGTGGGCTGTGATTGCCTCTGCATTTATGATGCCAACATCTTGCTAAAAATTTGCTTTTTCATGCATTTTTATATAAGAAGGCTGAAAATTTTAAGCGTTACAACAAGCAAATGTTTTTCGAATGCATTTTTCGGTAGTTAGAGGTTGGAAACTTAACGAGGTACATCTCCAAGTATTTTTTCTTGAATATTTTTTCTTAAATATTTTTTCGAATCAAGTATTTTTTCTTGAACGTACGAGATTTTTTATGCCTTAAGATGAGGCTCGTACACAATTTTTCGCCTTCATCAGCCAGAGGATGGGGGCCAGAAATGGGCCGCTGATATAATTTCACTTATTATAACAAAAATCCTAAGTTTATAGTTTAAACCCACCAGTTCACCTGTCATTCTAGTGTATTCGGGACTTTAAATTACATCCCTACTATTATAATCAACCGATTATTAATAATACCCTGGAATTGTAATTAGCTGTTCCTTATTAATCCTGGTAAATTTTAAATGTCAATCCGTAATAATATTTACAATTTTTAACTAGTGGACCTTAATAAATCCCTTATACACTAAATTCGCTAGGCCATTTTGCACATTTATTTTTTGCAATTTTAGTCGAAATTAGCAAAAAATCCCATACAATACTCTGATTAATCATTTATCGTATAATTCATCTGTTTTAGTAATTTTTCAATTACTGTATTGAAGCGCACGTGTAACGCTTACTCTATTATGAGAATATAACTCTTAATGATATACTAGTTATTAAAGGTTATTCACAGCATGGCTAATTTAGCAGTGAAATGCAATTAATTATTTTGCAACATTACATATTTTGCAATTAACATTATTGCAATAAGCCTAAAATTGAGGTTTTACTTGAAGCGAGTTGCGGAAACCCTTATCTTGTAGTCAAATTTACAGAATTTATCATTCAGTATTTTTAATTCGTCTTCTGATTAATCTGTACATTATTTACCTTAACGTTATCTTTGCTTGACTCCATTTTTCATGTCTGTTGCATCTACATGAGAAGTGCATTCTTGCTTTGACTCGCATTAAAATATATAATTCCTGGAAATTTCACCACTACATTTTTTAACATAAAATAACCTTAATAATTAAATCATCTGACGACTTGGTGCAACTCCTCTAATGTTTCAAACATAACCGTTAGGAATTCGATTTATTTTTATTTTTTTGTTTCTCCACTGACTTGTTGCATTTTGTCTCATATTCCCTCGCCAAACTTTTTCCCCCACTTTCCCTTTAATATCATTTTGATTTTTCTCGGTTTGAATCACGCTTTCAAAGGCAAGGCAAATACTAACGAAAACACTACACACGTCCATACACTTCATGCTGCACGACACACGTCCATACACTTAATGACACACAACACGACACAATTTGCGGTCTGAATTTCGTACTTCAGTACACACGACTCCATTTTCGTACCTCATTAAACTCATTTATTTCGTACAAATACAAGTTACTTACAAATGACTTCAGACAAAACTTCGGTTTTATCTTCCATTACCTACTTATAAATTGCCAAGATTGGCGAGCTTTACTCACTAATTGAAAATTATATGTTAAAAATTTTTAACACCAGAATTGCTCGACATGTCTAAGGTACGCATGGCCTGCATAAATTTTGCTTTCTTTTCAATTTCTAAAGTTTTGATTATTATAATTACATGCTAAAATATAATTATATGCTAAATATTACATATCAATTCTTCTACAACAACAAAGAAGTTTAATACACCCGTTTTCATATAAAAAAGCGGTGTCTTTAGTTTCCCACATTATTATTTTATATGCTCGTTCCTTTCATTCGAAATTCATTTTATGTCATCTTTGTAGGATGTTTACACCGCTTTGCATTTCGTTCTCCTTAAGCGTTTTGAAATAATTTCGGTCTTGTTATGAATTAGTTCTGCATTAACTATTCGTTACTAAAATTACCTCGTTTCCGGTTGACTTCTACTATTATTAACGTTTTTAATATTTTTGGCCTCTAATATCTAAATTTTATTTTTCACCGTCTTCATCTTCGAAACTTTCGTAGACTCCACGAGCCTTACGCACACTTAATTTTGCTACTCTCATTCCCTTGTAGCTCGCTACATGTCCGTGTAGCTCGCTGCATTTTAATGTAGCTTGCTGCATGTTCGTCTAGCTCGCTGCATTTTTGTGTGGCTCGTTACATGTTCTTGGAGCTCGCTACATTTTCATGACGCTCACTGCATTCTATAGCAGCTCGCTACATGTCCATGTAGCTCGCTGCATTCTTTCGTACCTCACAAGATATGCGTGTAGCTCGCTACCTTATATGCTTGCGTATGCGTATCCCTGGCCGGCAGAGTGAAGGAGGTTTTTGTCAATCTTTGCAGTGTTCTTGGTATGTATCTATTCGGTGGGAAGTTTTGCATGCGACCTGACGGGGTCACCGAATGCTCTTGCAAAGAGATTCTCGCGCCAAACTCCTATTGTCGCTGCCATCGAATGCATTTCAACAGCCTCCTCTGGGCCACCGTCACCGTGTTCCAGGTGAGGGCCACTGCCACCCGTGTTCAGGGCCCATACTTTCAAAAAAAGTTAAGAGATCGTAAGTCTATCAGCCAATCATTGACGGCCACGCAAGCAAAATCCACCAATCATAGACAAGAAAATAGAGCGTAAGTACTTGCGTTCACTTAGCGAGTTTTGAAAGTATGGCCCCAGGTTTGGAAGGCTCTGCCTTCCAACATCCAAGGTATTTATTTACTCTCGGTAACATGAATAATTTCTTTATATAGGTTTTCGCTTTCATCATCGTACTTTATTTTATCCTTTACAATTTCTTTATCTTTTTCCCGGGCTCGATATGTTGTCGTTCCTTGCTCACAATATAGGTATTGAGAGAATAATTTTGAATCTGGGATGAGTTTTTAAACGTTTTTTTTATTTTTTTTTCGTGGCATTATGGCGATATTTTCTGGATTCTTGTGTTCTCGTTGCGTTAGCGTGCAATCGGCCGAACCCTTATTAATTACTGGCTCAGCTGCAGGGAGAGATTAATATTATATTTTTTGCACAAAACCCCTTCAAGGTCTCGTTAATTTCAAGTTAGGTTTGATGCACATGGATAATGCTAGTATCATTTGTTATCGAACAAATAAATAAACAATTTTCCAATAAACCCAGCTCTCTTGCTAGCATGTCTTGCAATAATCGATCTAATCCCATACGCAATAGTTCATTATCAATTAATGAAGAATTACGCCCTACTTTGTACTAATTATTATCATTAGTGTATTGCTTTACCAGTAGCAATAAATATTCTAAGAATGTTCGTTCTTAGAATAAACATTCATTGAATGAGATTCAACATTTAGAATGTTCTATTTAAATGTATTAATAATGAATATTCCAAGAATTTATTATCTTAGAATATTCATCCAAGGGATTTAGACTATCCTGTAGAAATGTTAATTATATTTATGATATTCTCAGTGTTTGCCACATTTCCTCCGCCCCCTCCGCCAGATCTTAACCCAGGAGGACTGGAACGTCGTCTTATTTAATGGCATGGAGAAGACCAGCCACTGGGCATCGCTGTACTTCGTGGCGCTCATGACGTTCGGCAATTACGTTCTCTTCAATCTGCTTGTGGCCATTTTAGTCGAGGGTTTCTCAGCGGAGGTAAGAACGTGAACAAAAATTTATCGTTACTCATTTGGCTAGAAATTTGGGAACCTTTCTAAGTGGGATGCTTGGGCCCAAACGCCTCAACGTTCAGGGCCCATACAGGCACATGACGTTGAGTCAGAGTTAATTTGGTTGAAATAATGTTTATTCAACGTTATTTCAAAGTCAATTGTCTGGTGGAGTAAAATATTTTGATGGCAGACGTATTTCTTGGAAACATGGTATGTAAGAGCAGTTAATTAGAACTTGAGCTTTATACCCCATTCAGTGATCCACGTAATCACTGTAATCATAATATCAAGTTTATTATATAATATTGTCATTTCTGTGTTTTATGTCGTTTTGTTGTTGATGAAATGTTTTTACATTTCCCAAATTACCGCTCAAGTCGCCATCTAAGTTTTTACTCAAACTTTGTTAATTTCCTATCCTCTTTACTTAAAATTTTTACTTGACTAAATTTTTAAAATGTTACGTACCCGCAGTTGGGAAACTTCAATAAAGTTTTTCAAATTTCCTTAAAATATTTATTCTTATGTTAATCCTATGGTGTGAACATTCTCTCCTGTAACATTTAATAATTAAGCTATGCTTTAGTCTGAACAATCGAATCTTGTTATGCACGCTGAATAATTTTTACCACATTCAAGTTACTTTAATGTACTTTTATGTCGGTGAAATTCTAAAAGAATAAATTTTCTTAAAAAATTGTTATTTCCAATTTTAATAAAGCTCACATAACAACTTAATTTTTATTGAAATATTTAATTTTGTGCCATAGAGACCATTTCTCTTCCTCTTCCAATTTCTTTTTAAACACCGAATACAAGTGCCTGTTTACATCCATGTCATTATAACTAATCTTACATCTTACTTAACACTTACAAAATCTTTTATTTATAAATCTAATAACTGTAAATAAACAACCAATAATGATTTTATCTTAATCAAATATGACGCATAATTAATCCACCCAGTTAGCATTTTTCACGTCGGAGTGTCATACCATTGCTCGCATTTATTTATGAGAGAGCATATAAAAATTTCCCTCAATTTAAATATTATTTCCGACGAAATAAGCTGCCAATGTGAGGCTCCAGTAAACTATTTTCATATTCCTTGCATATTTTATAGAAATTCAAGTGTCTTACTTATATTATTCGCTCTTCCAAGAATAATGGATAAAATCGGATAAAATATCCACACCTGAAATGCTTTTATTGTTTTATTGTAGCTGTTACATTTATTTTAATCCCAAATTTTAGCTTAACCTTTAATCCTGAAAAATTAATTAGCTTCAAGCCCCTATACTCTCAATTTAAAGCTTGAATGGCACTAATATTAATTTAAATGCTCAAAAAGTATTCTAAATTGACAGAAAATATAGAAAATTGAGACAATATCATAACAAATGGCATTTATAGTTGTGAGATTAACGCGAGATTTAACACATCCATACCGATACCAATCTGGTCGTCTAATCCCTTGTATTATCCCCTTGCTCATCTATCTTTTTCTCACCCATGCTTCACCTATCTTTTTCCCACCATTTCCTCGCCTATCTTTATCTTAACCCTGCTCACCTATCTTTATCTCCCTTTGCCCACCTATCTTTATCTCCCTTTGCTCACCTATCTTTATCTTACTCTCCCTCTTCCTCTGTTCCGGCAGGGACGTAAGGTATGAAACTTGACGATTGCGTTGGTCTTGTCGCGGATTTCGTCCATTTTTAGGAGCATTTTGGAAGCGTATCGAAATATTTAACTGAATTTCTGATCGTACTTACATTCATGGTAACCGGTCTTACTTACATTCATGGTAACCGGTCTTACTTACATTCATGGTAACCGGTCGCACTTACATTCATGGTAACCGGCGATAATTTTTTCCTACATCCACAGTTTCGAAAAATTGAAAGGTGATTAGGGAAAATTATAATTTTCTTATGTATATTGATATTTCGTAAATGCTTTTAAATAAATTGAGTGGTGAAAATTCTACCTCAACTGAAAGATTTTAACTCTGTTTGTTATCTCAAAATCAGTCACTATCTTTTGTTATCATTATGCGTTTTAAGTCTACTTCTCTGCAGCATCAATTTAATGTTTTGTCTTTTATCGCAATTATTTTCATTTTATGTTTTACTTCTGTCTTAGTTGGGTACTTGCAGAACGCAACACCAAAACAAGTTGGAATAAGCTATTGAAGAAATGTGTAAATTTAACTTTGCTTTTACAAAAAAAAGTATTGACGCATAAATTAGAAAAGTTTGGACCTCTTTTGTATTTAATCGTCTCGTGTTTTTGACGACGTACATAATACATACGACAACCATGAATGTATGATGGGCATTACATTCGTATTTCACTTAGGCTATTGGTGCGTCCGGCCTGCCGTTTAAAATACAATTGTAATTTAAATGTGATTATCATTATAAGCGCGTTACTCGCGACAGGACCAACCCCTGTATTGATCAGACGCCAGATACGCGAACATTTTTATCATGATAACGTTCAATAGTGTGGAATTAATTTCTTTTATTATAAGAAATAAATTTCATAACCAGGTTACGTTTAAACTTGATTTTTCTAAAAATTTGCCTAATCAAGCGGCAGTCTTACAACGCCCCTACAGTTTTCGCATATCTGACTCGCATCGCCCAACGCAGTGACCCCACCAACTCAACTCAAATATTTTATTTCAGCATCAAAAGTTCTTCGTAATTCGAATTTTTGAAGTTTTTTTGAATGAACTGTTCATGGGGAAGCAGGGCTCTTCCATTGCCTAAGAGCTTTGTCGAATCTTTTTCAATTAGAAAATTCTCTCACAGCGCTATAATCCATAACATGAAAACATGTTCAAAGTTCAACATTAACAAAATTAAAAGTTTTCTATAAAAGTTTCTTAAAATTAAAGTAAAAATTATCAATACATTTTAAAATTTAATTGCTTATATGTTTTTTTTATTATGTCAATTGGTAGGTGTTTACGTGGTGGGGTCTTTGGGTCATTAACTCGGCGTATTTCCTGACTGCAAGTTTGCTTGTATGCTAGCGTACGTGTGTCGAAGCCTTCTACTGCATTGACATGTAAATGCCTTTGAAATCATTAAAAAAATGTTGAGTTCTTGTTAAAATTATGTAAAATATCATTTAGGATCACATCAGTTGTTCCGTTCCATTAATTTACTGACGAATTAACACAAATTGGAGCGAGTCAATTCAATAGGAGTTATATTTCAATTCTCATTAATGATACTGCCGAATTATTACTGATAACTTCCACTGCCTACACGCGCGTGTAAAAGGGAGAACTTATTTAAATTCCCTTCTAGTCACTTTGAAATAGAATAGTGAGGCTCAAATGTCATACTGCAATTTTATAGACAATTTTTATTCATCAAAGACAGCATGCATTATTGTAGAGTAAAAGTTTTCATTCGGCTTTCAAATTACTTCTTCAAAGTTTTTCAGGAAACGGCAGCAACATGATTTTATCTCGCCATTTATTTAATTCATTGCAAATAATTAAAAATATATAATGTGAAAATCGCATCCTTTCCAGCGTCCAGTAAATAGCCTATCTAAAATCCTATGAATTTTGCACTTACAAAGCAAAGAAGCGCACAAATTTGTGCAGAAATGTCCTGTTTCCAACGCAAATATGTAAAAAAACGGCATGCCATCAGGCGGTCTTTAGATTAATGATCTGAGAGAGAACTGTAACCTGACTGCGCCTACTGTACAACAGTACAGTAACTGTAGCCTGACTGCGCCTACTGTACAACAGTACAGTAACAGTAGCCTGACTGCACAACAGTACAGTAACAGTAGCCTGACTGCACAACAGTACAGTAACAGTAGCTTGACTGCACCTACTGTACAACAGTACAGTAACTGTAGCCTGACTGCGCCTACTGTGCAACAGTACAGTTACAGTAGAATAACTGCACCAATTGTACTAAGAAGACGCTCGGTAGTCGGTTATGTGCAATATTATATTTTCATTCTTTAGTATAATCTTTAGGAGTGATGTATCCGTCCAGAGTATTCATTGGAAAAGATCATTTCCATGCAATACGTCGTTCATTTAAAAAGCCAAGGATATATATTATATATGTTATAATTTCTCATTAAGTCACAGGCTGAAGCAAAGAGCTTTACGTCACAGCAGTAGAAGGCTTTGCTTTTGTTCTGAAAATGAAGGATCGCGCGACGCTGTTGTCCAGGAATGACTTTTGGTGCAATAGATGGCTGTAGTTGCTGGAGCTACATTTCATTTTGCATTCGAAATAAAACTAGCGAAGGCCTGAGGCAGTTCAAACAAACATTTTAGTTGCGTACAATGCATGGCATTTATTTATTTATTTATTTTTGTAGATTTCATTTTTGGCTTTAGCCATTTATTATATACGAAAGATTGGTAATAGATTATATGCAAAATTATTCCAGGGTATCTTTGATTTAGCCTTGCAGAGAGTCTAGTGTAATGCTTCAGCGTATATACTTCCGCATTAAGTTATTTAACTATAACGAAAAACTAATGTACATAAAGATATACTTTAATACAAGCGTTGAGAACTTTGATTTATATTTCTAAATAATATACGAAATTACGTTCGGTTTGATGGCCTGGAAACAAAGCTCTACTTTATTGTCATATTGCAAATGTATTTACTTTTAAATGCATCGTCTGTTAGGTATAATATCTGCACTCTAATATCTTTGATACTTGGCGAAATGTAAAATAACCTCAAAATTTCAAACTCGTATCACTATCACCTTTAAAATTACACAAAACTCCTTCCTAAATGCCTTAAACTAATACTGTTCTACTTGCTATGGCATTCCAGTTGATTATGTTCGACTTATTTTCTTATATCCTATTCCTAAATTTTAGGCGCAACGTGGCGGTATTTGACGTAAATACTGAGAGAATTTAACCTAATTATTATTTAGCGTAAATCATGTATAACTAGTATCGCTCAGAACAAA